TAGACCAGCAGAAATGCACAGTACAGTTTGCTCAAACCATCCTGCTTACATACATAGATAAATCTTTTTCTCCCACTGCCTCTCCTGTCCTTCTCAACTCAGTAACTCTTTTCTTTTGAATTAAAATGCCTCTCGACCCTCTCTTACATGAGGCTGTGAATATCTTCTTTGTAGAGTGTCCTGCTAGCTTCTAAGAAGTTCATTTTTCAAGATGCATTCTAAGATCTGTGGCGGGAGCCACTAAAATTGCTCTTACTTACACTTTTCTTGTGCTCCTTACACAGCTGTAATTGTTCTTAGCAGCCTTCTCTGACACTTGGATGTCTTTTCCAACTATGTTACAAGGCTGGTGGGTACACTTCTACCCTCCTTTCTCGGATTTTGGATGAGTTATACTTTTTGACCAATTTTGCATGCTTATATCTGGAGATCTGAACAACTAATTTGAAGATGACAATATGCAGCATAACAGCCATTGTTGAGTCGCTGTCATTTTGCTTAGTGAAATTCTGTAACATTCTAATGGCGACAGAGCCTGTGCTGTGTGGCCAGCTCTGTCCAGCTCTCGTCTTTGCTTTCTTTATCCTGTCCCTTCCCCAGTGCCCTGCCAGCTGTGCAATGTGGAAGTCCCTGGGGCCCCAGCAGTCCCTGAAGGAGGCCTGGCATCAGGTGGCTATGGTCCTGAGTGCTGCTGGCTTTCTCCTTTACAGACTCCAGGGCCCGCAGGCCACGCACAGCATGGATGCCCACCACTGCGACTCTGGAGGTTTCTGAAGGAGAACCTGAGGTCATATCTGAGCATGACTCTCTCTGACCCGGTGTGAGGCAGGAGTCACTGCTTCAGCAGCTGTCCACCGGGGCCCTTAGCAAAGGAGATATTCACAGGCAGTCCCTGGAACCCTAGGCAAATGCAGTGTGAGTCTTTGTCAACTTTATAGGAGCCCTGAGCTTCAGCTCTGTGGCTGCTTTGTCACTCTGGGAGGACAGTGGGCATTTGCCAGGTGCACAGGTGGACATATTTATGGTTTCCTGTTCCCAGCTGTCTACTTATTCAGAATGCTACAAACATGATGATTAAAAAGTTGCAGAAAATTACTGTGCTCTTCACACATTTTATTTTTTATCTTTATGTGTTTAGTATGGGGTCTACAGGGTCTCACTACACAGATTGGACTCGTAGTGATCCTCCGGTTTTCAGCCTCCCAAGTGCTCAGATTACAAGTGCACGCCAGGCCCAGTGTCAGTTGTTATTTCAGCTTGCCCCGGGTGTTGGGTGGGCATGGCACGCTGGGGATTGAATCCCGGCCCCTGCATCTGCCTAAGTAGGCGTTTAATCCATCCACATATTTTTAAAGAAAATACAAAAAACAGTAAAGCAAGAAGTTAGAAGTGATATAGAATTTCACGAAACAAAATGATAGGAATTAGTAGTGATTGCTATACTACCTATTATTGTCTGTTTTATTAAAACAGCTATTTTATTAGAAAAATAATGATGCCGAGGACAAAATAACTTCAGACTTGGAATGATAGATTTTCTTTCTTTCTTTCTTTTTTTTTTTTTTTCCATTTGTGTGTTTGGTACAGGGTCTCACTACACAGCTCAGACTCGTAGTGATCTTCCTGATTTCAGCCTCTCCAGCGCTGGGATTACAGGCGTGCACCACCATGCACTTGGTCGCCAGCTCAGTGCGCCCCAGGGGCGGGGTTGGTGCAGCATGTGGGACTCCCCAGTCCCTGGTCAAACCCTGGTCCTTGCGCTTGCCAAAGCAGGTGTTTAGTCTGCTGAGCTATCTTGCTAGCTCAATGATATGTTTTCTGTAACATTGAAAAATTAATTGATAATTGAAAATTCATTTTGTCCTAACTATGTACTTTAATTTCAAGGTAGAGATACAAATTATCTAAGATTATTTTGTAAGTAAGAAACAATATTTCCCTTTCCTGGATGTAGGGAAAGGGCTTTCTTCTTATTATATAGAACAAGTAATTGTGTGCACACAGCAAATTGTGGCTCAGAATAAATATCCTTTAAAATATCCGCCATAAAAGAAATGCCTGCACTTAGCCATGTGGGGTAAAATGGCATTTATGATGGCCATCACATCATTCTGAGTGCTTTTCTTCAGGTTTAATTTAAATATGTCTTGTGGATTTATTTATTTCAAAAATCATACATGTGTGAAAACAGTTGCCTCACTTTTTTAAAAAAAGTAATAAAAATAGTAAAAAAAATTAGAAACGTTGTAGAATTTCACTAAGCAAAATGATAGGGCTTCAGCCATGGTTGTCATACTGCATATTGTTGGTTTCGAGTTAGTTGTTCAGATTACCAGATATAACTATGCAAAATTGCTCAAAAATTATAAATTTAAATGAAGTTAAAATTATAAAATTAAATTAAAAAGGAGAGAAAGAAAAACCCCCTAGGCATTAAGTGCTCCTTTCAGTAGACCAGCAGAAATCAGCAGTGTGGTCATCCAGGCCATCCTGGGCATATACGTATGTATTTCTTTTTCCTTCCTCCTTTCCTTTCGCTTCCCCACGCAGTTGCTCCTCCCCTTGGAGACGTCTCTTTCCCTCTCACAGTGTCCATGCACCTTTCCGATCCTGTGAACCCCTTCAGGTTCTTACACGAGGGAGACAATATGATATTTGCACTTGTGGGTCTAACTCGTTTCAGTGATGCGTATGGTCTCTAGTTTCATCCTATAAAAGCCTTGAGTTTGTCGTTCTTATAGCTGAGTAATACTCCATTACTCAGCTATAAAAACACCACATCTTTTTATCCATTCCTTGATTAATGGGCATTTTGGGTGTTTCCAGAATTTCGCTATGATAAATTATGCTGCTATAAACATGGGTGCACACATAGCGCAGTGGTATGACGTGTTCAGTCCTTGTAGAAGAATACTCCAGAGGGAAAGAGCTGGGTTGAATGGGACCTCTAATCCTAGTTTGTTTAAAAGGATTTCTGTAGTGGTTGTACCAGTCTATACGCCCGCCAACAGCGGAGAAGGGTTCCTTTGTCCCTACAGCCTCTGCAACTTTTGTTATTGGTTGACTTCTTGATGATAGCCGTTCTTTCTGGGGTGAGATGGAATCTCAGTACTGTTTTAATTTGCATTTCTCAGATGACCATCTCTTTTTTATTTTTAAAGAAAAAACCGTCATCCATGTAGTCAGGTATGAAATTCCGTAACAGCGGAGGGAAACAGTGAATGCAGGGCAGGTTGTGTGTATTCAGCAGCACGGGGTGGCTCCGCCTACCCTCCCTCATCTGCAGCAGGCCTGGTCCCAGAGGGGGAGCAGAGAGACAGCCTCTGCTGTGGTGGGCTCCCAGGGCCCCAAGCCAGCAGGCTGCTGTGCTGAGTCCTTTGAGGAGGGGTCAGTCCAGGGGTTCTCTTAGTGGTGATCCCGGTTCTTCCGCATCTCCACGGCAGACCTGGACCTCAGTAGAGTCTCCCCATCTCCTACCCAGAAGGTCCAGGCACTTGGGGTCTCCGAACCCTCTTTCCATGGCCTCTCACCTTCACATCATTGCCACTCTTTTATCCTGTGGTCTTATTAAAAATCAGACACATGCTGTCATCCCAGAACTCTGGGAAGCTGAGGCAGGAGGATCGCAAGCTTGAACCCAGCCTGGCAGCTTAGCCACTGAGCCACACAAACTCTATCTGAAAAGAAAAGAAAGGGGTGAGTATGTTGCTCACTACGATGGTCCTGGGCTCTGTCCCAAGTACTGGAAAAGAAAGGCAAAATGCATAAAGAAAAGCCATATCTCTGGTTATGCTGTCTGATTCTCTCTCCTCTTCAAATCCTTCCATGGTATCTCCCTGCTTGCTTGCTACAATCCAGGGCTTATTCAGTGCACAGAAATTCCTGCAGGATCCGGGTCCAGCCAGGGCCTGGCTGCTTGCTCTCCAGGTCCTCAGGCCTGGGATGTTCCTGACGGGGCCCTGCCTGTGCCTCCCTGACCCTGCACCTTCCTGACCCTGCACCTCCTCCTCTCCTGCCTGGAGCCTGCAGACGCCACATGACTCACCTCCTTGTTCTGTTTTCTGCACAGATTCCTCTTCCAGCCACCTGGCCTGACCCCATCTGAAAGCACCTTCTCCTGTTTGCTTCAGTGGCTGCTTTTCCCCTTCACCTCACTTGTCACCATGTGGCCTTAGGGAACACCTCTTGATTAATTGGCTCATTTTCCCCTCCTCCTGTTCCAGAATGGACTGAGGCATTGGTGGGATTGTGGTCTGTTTCATTCACCTGGGTATTGTAGACCCAGTAATGTGGCTCCAAACTTTGGTTGATCTCAGTGATGAATAAAATGAATAATTTGTTAAGTGTTCTCGCTAGAGAACAGGTGGGGGACATTTGAGTGGAGGGGACTGAGAAATCACCCAGCAGTCAGTGGAAAGGTGGCGGTTATTTAGAAGCCAAGAGCAGAGTAAGGAGGGGGGAGTGGCCAGTGTGGCCCGTGGCACGCGTGGCTGGGATGTCCAGGGGACGCAGCTGAAAGCTTCCTCCTGCATCTAAGGGTGTAACTGTCATTAGGCCCTGGTTATGTATCAGAAGTGCAGATGATCTGAGTGGGCTGAAAAGTGAGTGCGGGAGGGCAGAAGTGGAGGCACAAACTTGCCAACTCGCACATATCTAAGCTGTGATCACTGGGCCACTGATGAAGGATGTTCATAGTCTCGGTTGTGTGGGGACAGCACCATCCTGGCCCATGGCCAGATTGCTTCCTCTGCATACAGCAGAGGGCAGAGGACTTGGGCTGGGTCCCAAGGACCCAGGGCCGGCTGTGTGCCCTGCGTTGATCTCCTCCTGCTGCACGCCGTGGCAGCCAGGTCAGCAGTCGCAGCCCCCGAGCTCAGGTCGGAGGCCTCCGAAGTGCAGCTAACATTGTAGGGCACTGTGGAAAAGTTCCCGGCAGCGCGGTGGGCGTCAGGTGCCGACTCCGATGGAATCCCCGGGCTGACCGGGCTGTGCCCTTCCAGGTTCCTGAACAACGTCGGGTTCTTCTTTCCGCTGATAATGATGTTGACCTGGATGGTGTCTGTGGCCAGCATGGTCCGAAGGCTGGTATATGAGCGGGAGATCCAGATAGAAGAGGTAAAGGGCCTCTCCTGCTGGCGGTGTGTGTGTGTGTGTGTGTGTGTGTGTGTGTGTGTGTGTGTCTCCCTGAGTCCCTGGCTAATTTGCATAAAGCCTAGCAAACTATAGCCTACGCTTTCACCCTAGACTTTAAGAATGAGAGTGGGCAAGGGTGCCTGGGGAAGATGGGACTGCCTGCAGACAGCTGCAGAGGGGCAGAGCTGGGTGACCGCAGGAACACCTTGACTACCTACCGGGCATTTATTATCAATTTTACAGCCATGCAGAGGGTTGTATAGCTGTGCTGCGTGTTATTTACCTGTCACAGACTGTCTGCTCAGCGATGGCTGTTTCTTCCTTGTTCACCTGGGGACCCAGCGTCCCACTGGCTGGCTCCCTACTGCCACTGTTCCTCTGACCATCACAGTGTGGGCCTCAGAGATTTCCTTTTTCAAGGGGTGGTGGTGCAGCAGTAGGGCTTGGACTCAGGCCTGTGCGCTGAGCTACAGCCCCACCAGTGTTTTATTTTTAAATTTGAGCCAGGGTCTCACTAAGTCACCAAGCTGCCGGGCTGGATTTAAGCTTGTATTCCTCCTGCCTCAGCCCCTGCAGTGCTGGGATTACAGGCGTGTGCTGCCACTGGCAGCTCAGTCGGCCTCCTCATGCACATAATGAGCCATCCCCGCTGTACCACAGAGATGGATAAGCAGAGGAGAGACTTAGAGGAGAACTTAGTTTTACCTTAATTACTACCACGAGGATTATTTTGCAAAACACATTCTGAGCTGACTCATCGACCCTCCAAATGGCCTGCAGAGCGTGAGCACCAACAGTCCCCTTCCTCTTTGCTTTTTTTTATTAAACAAAGTCAACATGAACAAAATGAAGGACGGTATTAGAAAGTACAAATTCCAACAAACAGGAAGTGCCAGGAGGCCGGAGCTGTGCAGGCCGACCCTGAGGTCTCGGTCCCCTGCTCCTGCTCTGCCTGCTGTGGGTCTCACCAGGGACATTGTCCTCATGCCTCCTGCCTCTGGTGCTTGGGAGCGCCCCACGCCCAGGCCTGGAGGGAGGCGTCCTTCTCAGGGTGCTCAGCGCCCCCATGTCTCCCCCTGTGACGCCCCCGTTTCCCCACCTGCAGTACCTGCGAATGACGGGCGTGCACCCGGCCGTGAACTTCCTGGCCTGGTTCGTGGAGAACGTAGCCATGCTGGCCCTGAGCAGCGCCACGGTGGCCGTCATTCTGAAAACCAGCGGCATCTTTGCATACAGTGACGTGCTCATCCTCTTCCTCTTCCTCCTGGATTTTGGGGTGTCGGCCGTCATGCTGAGTTACTTCTTGAGCGCGTTTTTCAGCCAGGCTAACACCGCCGCCCTGTGCACCAGCCTGCTCTACCTCATCAGCTTCCTGCCCTACATCTTGCTGCTGGTCCTGCACAGCCAGCTTGGCCCGGCCATGCAGACCTTCCTGGTAAGCGGGCACCTCTATAAAAATGCACGATAAAATAAAACAGCCATTTGCCCTTCAAAACAAAAGCACCTTCAGGCTGGGGAGATAGCTCAGTGGTTTAAGCGCCTTCCTGGCAGGCACAAGGACCTGAGTTCAATCCCCAGCACCCCATGCTGTGCCGCCATGCTGGGTACCAAAACCGGGTGTGGTGGTGTACAGCTGTAATCCCTGCGCTGGGGAGGCTGAGACAGGTGTGTCACTATGAGTCTCAGCTGTGTATTGAGACCCTGTACCAAGTTAATAAAAGATAAAAAATTACAAAAATCCAAAACTACCTTCTACAACTTGCTAATTTAGCTAGATCTCCATGGGCTTTCCTGATAGCTTTTTTCATTCTAGCAAAGGCCGAAATTTCAGGAGTAGTTTGCTGAAATTGCAGTACTTCTGGGGGGTGAGCAGGCTGCACAGCACAAGGGGGCGTGTCACGTGAAACAGGGTCTGTCTGAGGACTCTGGGAAATGAGCAGCATCCTTCAGGAAGTGCGTCGCTGAAGTGTTGTCTCTGTTTCCTGCGTGCAAAGAAATAGATTTCTACAGCTGTTTTTGGAGTAAAAAGAGTCATTTTTCTTGAAGCATCATGAATTACTTCACATTAAGGAGAAAGATCTTTCTGGGAGCAACGTGAGAACCACTCGCCCACTTAGAATGTACCTCCCAAAACAGAGTGTGACTGTCTCGTGGGTCTGCAGTAGAAAGGGCAGAGAAGACAGAAGCTCATTGTTTCAGGATGACTGTCCAGCAGGCACAGTGCCTGACACTTCAGTGCAGGGAGGGGGAGGACATCACTAGTAAGGGGCTCTCTTTCACAGCGTCAGTAACCCGGTTGTAGGTTTAAGTCTGCAGCTCCTGAGGCAGATTATGGGATGTACAGTGGGAGACACAAGAGGAACAACCTTGAGGCATCCTGGGGTTCTGAGTCACCGCACCTTGGGCTTGGCGGTCCTGGGCTTGGAACGCCAGGGCTGCCAAGGAGTCCTAAAGACTTTTAAAATTCCTTCAGTGCAAACTGATTTCTTGACAACCCTATCTAGTGTATCACTTTTTCATTGGGAGGGGTTCATCTTTTCTACTGGCTTAGCACCTGAGAGTAAAATGTAGCTATGAAAGCCTCATTATTTTTATTTTTTTAAGCCACATTATTTTAAATCCAACTGCACTAAGTCCTTCAGTTTCCTAGCCATATGTGCACAAGTTACGTGTGCATGTGTGACGAGGGTTGTTATGTTCGGGTGCACTTGGTCCACTGATGGGTGTTCACTGAGCTGTGTCACATGCTGATGGCTTGTGTTAGTGTTTATTACATTTTCAAATGATTAACACACGTGGGGCCACTTATTGTTCTTTCCTCAGTGAAGTCCTTACACGTGCAGTCACTGATGACTGGTAACTTGCAAAGGTCCTTAGTTTTGCCTTTATTTTAATCCTATTTAAAAGGTCCATGCAAACACCAGGGATTTCCTATGTGCGTTTCAGAAGTTTTCTAGCGATTAAAACAAGACATGGAAGCCTGGCCCGCTGTATTTTTAAACATAAGGTGCTTTTCCACTGGTCTTTTCTTCCACGACACAGAACCTCTCCACTGCAGATAGAAGCCCGCTTTCCTCCCAGGCGTGCCCTGCCCGGGGTGGCGCTGGCTCCCAGTCCGTCAGTGCATTTGTGGGGTGCTCCAGGCATCCAACTCATAATAAAGAAGAGGAAATGACTCTATTGTATTTTCCACTGTTTGGTGTTACACGTATCTGTATACAGCGTGTTAGATTTATGACACTTCACGTGCTGCAGTAAGGAGAAATAACCCCTCCCACATTAGCTTTCCAGACAGACTGACATTCTGCGAAGCCTTTCTGGCTCAGATATTTAAATTATTGCCCAGAGCCGGGCTTGGCATGCTCAGAACCTGAAGGCGTAGGTCGTGAGTCTCTCTCTCTCCCTCTCTCTCCCTCTCTCTCCCCCTCTTTCCCTTTCTCCCCCTCTCTCCCTCCCCCTCTCTCCCTCCC